GACCACTGTGACTGACCCAAATTTAAGGAAAGCTTTGACTATGTACAGACTCAGTGAGCATAGCCTTGCTATTGAGAAAGGCCGCCGTAGGCAGACCTGTCTCTCAAGAGAAGACAGGCTATGTGCACACTGCCCACAAAATGAGCTGGAAACGGAGCTGCACTTCCTAACCTCCTGCCAAATGTATGACCATATTAGAGACACATATTTCCCTCAGATTACAGAGATCCACAAAGAATTCGAAAACAAACCCAATTTTGATAAACTCCCTTATCTACTGGGTGAAAAACCACAGTGTGCCATCACAGCTGCAAGATTTGTGACCTGTTGCCACAAGAAAAGGGCAACCAGTGAAGAACAAACACCATTGTAAATACAACCCATATTTATGTTTATTTATTTTCCCATTTGTACTTTAACTATTTACACATTGTTACAACACTGTATATACAGTGGTGTGAAATAGTGTTTGCCCCCTTCCTGATTTGTTATTTGTTTGCATGTTTGTCACACTTAAATATTTCAGATCATCAAACAAATTTAAATATTAGTCAAAGATAACACAAGTAAACACAAAATGCAGTTTTGAAATGAAGGTTGTTATTATTAAGAGAAAACAAAATCCAAACCTACATGGCCCTGTGTGAAAAAGTGTTTGTCCCCCCTGTTATAACACAACTCAACTGCGGTTTATCACACCTGAGTTCAATTCCTCTAGCCACACCCAGGCCTGATTACTGCCACACCTGTTCTCAGTCAAGGAATCACTTAAATAGGACCTGCCTGACAAAGTGAAGTAGACCAAAAGATCCTCAAAAGCTAGACATCATGCCGAGATCCAAAGAAATTCAGGAACAAATGAGAAAGAAAGTAATTGAGATCCATCAGTCTGGAAAAGGTTATAAAGCCATTTCTAAAGCTTTGGGACTCCAGCGAACCACAGTGAGAGCCATTATCCACAAATGGCGAAAACATGGAACAGTGGTGAACCTTCCCAGGAGTGGCCGGCCGACCAAAATTACCCCAAGAGCGCAGCGACGACTCATCCAAGAGGTCACAAAAGACCCCACAACAACATCCAAAGAGCTGCAGGCCTCACTTGCCTCAGTTAAGGTCAGTGTTCATGACTCCACCATAAGAAAGAGACTGGGCAAAAATGGCCTTTCATGGCAGAGTTCCAAGACGAAAACCACTGCTGAGCAAAAAGAACATTAAGGCTCATCTCATTTTTGCCAGAAAACATCTTGATGATCCCCACGACCTTTGGGAAAATACTCTGTGGACTGATGAGACAAAAGTTAAACTTTTTGGAAGGTGTGTGTCCCATTACATCTGGCGTAAAAGTAACACCGCATTTCAGAAAAAGAACATCATACCAACAGTAAAATATGGTGGTGGTAGTGTGATGGTCTGGGCCTGTTTTGCTACTTCAGGACCTGGAAGACTTGCTGTGATAAATGGAACCATGAATTCTGCTGTCTACCAAAAAATCCTGAAGGAGAATGTCCGGCCATCTGTTCGTGACCTCAAGCTGAAGCGAACTTGGGTTCTGCAGCAGGACAATGATCCAAAACACACCAGCAAGTCCACCTCTGAATGGCTGAAGAAAAACAAATGAAGACTTTGGAGTGGCCTAGTCAAAGTCCTGACCTGAATCCTATTGAGATGCTGTGGCATAACCTTAAAAAGGCAGTTCATGCTCGAAAACCCTCCAATGTGGCTGAATTACAACAATTCTGCAAAGATGAGTGGGCCAAAATTCCTCCACAGCGCTGTAAAAGACACATTGCAAGTTATCGCAAATGCTTGATTGCAGTTGTTGCTGCTAAGGGTGGCCCAACCAGTTATTAGGTTGTAGGGGGCAATCACTTTTTCACACAGGGCCATGTGGGTTTGGATTTTGTTTTCCCTTAATAATAACAACCTTCATTTCAAAACTGCATTTTGTGTTTACTTGTGTTATCTTTGACTAATATTTAAATTTGTTTGATGATCTGAAACATTTAAGTGTGACAAACATGCAAACAAATAAGACATCAGGAAGGGGGCAAACACTTTTTCACACCACTGTATACAGTTGAAGTTGGAAGTTTACATACACCTTAGCCAAATACATTTAAACTCAGTTTTTCACAATTCCTGACATTTAATCCTAGTAAAAATTATCTGCCTTATGTCAGTTAGGATCACCACTTTATTTTAAGAATGTGAAATGTCAGAATAATAGTAGAGAAAGTGATTTCTTTCAGCTTTTATTTATTTCATCACATTCCCAGTGGGTCAGAAGTTTACATACACTCAATTAGTATTTGGTAGCATTGCCTTTAAATTGTTTAACTTGGGTCAAACGTTTCAGGTAGCCTTCCACAAGCTTCCCACAATAAGTTGGGTGAATTTTGGCCCATTCCTCCTGACAGAGCTGGTGTAACTGAGGTTTGTAGGCCTCCTTGCTCGCACATGCTTTTTCAGTTCTGCCCACACATTTTCTATAGGATTGAGGTTAGGGCTTTGTGATGGCCACTCCAATACCTTGATTTTGTTTTCCTTAAACCATTTTGCCACAACTTTGGAAGTATGCTTGGGGTCATTGTCCATTTCGAAGACCCATTTGTAGGATTTTTTATGAATTTATTTGCAAATTATGGTGGAAAATAAGTATTTGGTCAATAACAAAAGTTTCTCAATACTTTGTTATATACCCTTTGTTGGCAATGACACAGGTCAAACGTTTTCTGTAAGTCTTCACAAGGTTTTCACACACTGTTGCTGGTATTTTGGCCCATTCCTCCATGCAGATCTCCTCTAGAGCAGTGATGTTTTGGGGCTGTAGCTGGGCAACACGGACTTTCAACTCCCTCCAAAGATTTTCTATGGGGTTGAGATCTGGAGACTGGCTAGGCCACTCCAGGACCTTGAAATGCTTCTTACGAAGCCACTCCTTCGTTGCCCGGGCGGTGTGTTTGGGATCATTGTCATGCTGAAAGACCCAGCCACGTTTCATCTTCAATGCCCTTGCTGATGGAAGGAGGTTTTCACTCAAAATCTCACGATACATGGCCCCATTCTTTCCTTTACACGGTTCTGGGATTTTTGCTCACCGTTCTTGTGATCATTTTGACCCCACGGGGTGAGATCTTGCGTGGAGCCCCAGATCGAGGGAGATTATCAGTGGTCTTGTATGTCTTCCATTTCCTAATAATTAATCCCACAGTTGATTTCTTCAAACCAAGCTGCTTACCTATTGCAGATTCAGTCTTCCCAGCCTGGTGCAGGTCTACAATTTTGTTTCTGGTGTCCTTTGACAGCTCCTTCCATCAGCAAGGGCAAAACCTCCTTCCATCAGCAAGGGCATTGAAGATGAAACGTGGCTGGGTCTTTCAGCATGACAATGATCCCAAACACACCGCCCGGGCAACGAAGGAGTGGCCTCGTTAGAAGCATTTCAAGGTCCTGGAGTGGCCTAGCCAGTCTCCAGATCTCAACCCCATAGAAAATCTTTGGAGGGAGTTGAAAGTCCGTGTTGCCCAGCGACAGCCCCAAAACATCACTGCTCTAGAGGAGATCTGCATGGAGGAATGGGCCAAAATACCAGCAACAGTGTGTGAAAACCTTGTGAAGACTTACAGAAAACATTTGACCTGTGTCATTGCCAACAAAGGGTATATAACAAAGTATTGAGAAACTTTTGTTATTGACCAAATACTTATTTTCCACCATAATTTGCAAATAAATTCATTAAAAATCCTACAATGTGATTGTCTGGATTTTTTTTCTCATTTTGTCTGTCATAGTTGACGTGTACCTATGATGAAAATTACAGGCCTCTCTGATCTTTTTAAGTGGGAGAACTTCCACAATTGGTGGCTGACTAAATACTTTTTTTCCCCACTGTACGTTTCCCATGCCAATAAAGCCCTTATATTGAAATTAGAGAGAGAGAGAGAGAGAGAGAGTGAGAGAGAACGAGAGAGAGAGAGAGAGCGAGAGAGAGAGAGAGAAGCCAGTGGTGAGAGATTAGGTTGAGCTGGTACAACTCGAGAAAATGTCAAACTGGGAGAGAAAAGTGAGATTCGTCTATTCATGGAAAGATAACAACATGACCTTTAAAGATAAAGAGAAAATCTCACCTCTTCTCTATCAAAGATAACGTCACCCTCTCCTCTCCCCTCCCCTCTCAGCCAGTTGACCAAGCTGGAGTATCTGGACCTGTCCAACAACAACCTGAGTGTGGTTCCTCAGGGTCTGCCTCGAGGTCTGATACTGCTCCACCTGGAGAAGAACAACATCCGCACTATCCCTGGCGATGCCCTCATAGCCTGCCGTAACCTGGAGTACCTACTTCTGCACAACAACCAGCTACGCTCCCGCTCCATACACCAAGCTGCATTCCATGTAGGCCTACAGCATTACTGAATACCTGGGTTACTTAAGTCCCCCATATGGCCCTATTGCCCCACTTTTATTTAATAGGAAAATAAATATATATGCTTTTTCATATTTTCATGTGTTCAAATACTATGTATTTGAGCTTGTGTCTTCATAAGTGAGCACACCTCAGCAATGTATAACTATTTGTACCAGAAAGGTGAGTTCCAGTCCTTTCTAAAACTATGCATCATTACCAGTGATTGTTTATGGCCATCTCATGAAAAATAATTACGTTTGGGTATGTCTATTTAGACAGAAGTCTATATTTTGCCCTTTTTATTCAACTGGTTAAATCTTATACTGTGGATAGTTGAACCGCCACAGGTGTATCCGGCTCGAAGGACCATGAAAAATATGATAGATGGCTATATAGATTGATCTGAAGGCTAGTTTGGTCAGGTCGAACCACCACAGAGTGTTTGGCACAATTGTTTTGATGTTATGATTATCATAATCTTTTGTATCTGTTAAATGAGCTGTGAGAAATGTGAAATGTGCAATGAAATGCGCTTGCCATCACATAAATAGTTTTCTCTTCTCCCCAGGGCCTGAAGAAGCTACACACCCTCCACATGTACAACAACCAGCTGGAGCGTGTCCCCAGGGGTCTCCCCCGCCGAGCCAAGACCCTTATGCTGCTTCACAACGGCATAAACGAGATCGGACGCAATGACCTGGTGATGCTTTACACCCTGACCGAGCTCAACCTCAGCTACAACCGCCTCACCAGCCCCAAGCTGCACCGAGAAGGTACACCTGTTAATCCTATGTGGAACATAAGGCTTTCACCTATATACAGTGGGGAGAACAGGTATTTGATACACTGCCGATTATGCAGGTTTTCCTACTTACAAAGCATGTAGAGGTCTGTCATTTTTAATCATAGGTACACTTCAACTGTGAGAGACGGAATCTAAAACAAAAATCCAGAAAATCACATTGTATGATTTTTAAGTAATTAATTTGCATTTTATTGCATGACATAAGTATTTGATCACCTACCAACCAGTAAGAATTCCGGCTCTCACAGACCTGTTAGTTTTTCTTTAAGAAGCCCTCCTGTTCTCCACTCATTACCTGTATTAACTGCACCTGTTTGAACTCGTTACCTGTATAAAAGACACCTGTCCACACACTCAATCAAACAGACTCCAACCTCTCCACAATGGCCAAGACCAGAGAGCTGTGTAAGGACATCAGGGATAAAATTGTAGACCTGCACAAGGCTGGGATGGGCTACAGGACAATAGGCAAGCAGCTTGGTGAGAAGGCAACAACTGTTGGCGCAATTATTAGAAAACGGAAGAAGTTCAAGATGACGGTCAATCACCCTCTGTCTGGGGCTCTGTTGCAAGATCTCACCTCGTGGGGCATCAATGATCATGAGGAAGGTGAGGGATCAGCCCAGAACTACACGGCAGGACCTGGTCAATGACCTGAAGAGAGCTGGGACCACAGTCTCAAAGAAAACCATTAGTAACACTACGCCGTCATGGATTAAAATCCTGCAGCGCACGCAAGGTCCGCCTGCTCAAGCCAGCGCTTGTCCAGGCCCGTCTGAAGTTTGCCAATGACCATCTGGATGATCCAGAGGAGGAATGGGAGAAGGTAATGTGGTCTGATGAGACAAAAATATAGCTTTTTGGTCTAAACTCCACTCGCCGTGTTTGGAGGAAGAAGAAGGATGAGTACCACCCGAAGAACACCATCCCAACCGTGAAGCATGGAGGTGGAAACATAATTCTTTGGGGATGCTTTTCTGCAAAGGGGACAGGACGACTGCACCGTATTGAGGGGAGGATGGATGGGGCCATGTATCGCGAGATATTGGCCAACAACCTCCTTCCCTCAGGAAGAGCATTGAAGATGGGTCGTGGCTGGGTCTTCCAGCATGACAACGACCCAAATCACACAGCCAGGGCAACTAAGGAGTGGCTCCGTAAGAAGCATCTCAAGGTCCTGGAGTGGCCTAGCCAGTCTCCAGACCTGAACCCAATAGAAAATCTTTGGAGTGAGCTGAAAGTCCGTATTGCCCAGCGACAGCCCCGAAACCTGAAGGATCTGGAGAAGGTCTGTATGGAGGAGTGGGCCAAAATCCCTGCTGCAGTGTGTGCAAACCTGGTCAATACCTACAGGAAACGTATGATCTCGGTAATTGCAAACAGGTTTCTGTACCAAATATTAAGTTCTGCTTTTCTGATGTATCAAATACTTATGTCATGCAATAAAATGCAAATTAATTACTTAAAAATCATACAATGTGATTTTCTGGATTTTTGTTTTAGATTCCGTCTCTCACAGTTGAAGTGTACCTATGATAAAAATTACAGACCACTACATGCTTTGTAAGTAGGAAAACCTGCAAAACCAGCAGTGTATCAAATACTTGTTCTCCCCACTGTATAAGGAACCAGTCAAAAGTTTGGACACACCTACTCAAAACTATGAAATAACACATCGAATCATGTAGTAACCAAAGTGTTAAACAAATAACAATTTTATATTTGAGATTCTTCAAATAGCCACCCTTTGGCTTGATGACAGCTTTGCACACTCTTGGCATTCTCTCAACCAGCTTCACCTGGAATGCTTTTCCAACAGTCTTGAAGGAGTTCCCACATATGCTGAGCACTTGTTGGCTTTCCTTCACTCTGCCGTCCGACTCATCCCAAACCATCTCAATTGGGTTGAGGTTGGGGGATTGTGGAGGTCAGGTCATCTGATGCAGCACTCCATCACTCTCCTTCTTGGTAAAATAGCCCTTACACAGCCTGGAGGTGTGTTGGGTCATTGTCCTGTTGAAAAACAAATGATAGTCCCACTAAGCCCAAACCAGATGGGATGGCGTATCGCTGCAGAATGCTGTGGTAGCCATGCTGGTTAAGTGTGCCTTGAATTCTAAATAAATCACAGACAGTGTCACCAGCAAAGCACCCCCACACCATAATACCTCCTCCTCCGTGCTTTACGGTGGGAAATACACATGCGGAGATAATCCGTTCACCCACACCGTGTCTCACAAAGGCACCAAAAATCTCCAATTTGGACTCCAGACCAAAGGACACATTTCCACCAGTCTAATGTCCATTGCTCGTGTTTCTTGGCCCAAGCAGGTCTCTTCTTCTTATTGGTGTCCTTTAGTAGTGGTTTCTTTGCAGCAATTCAACCACGAAGACCTGATTCACACAGTCCCCTCTGAACAGTTGATGTGGAGATGTGTCTGTTACTTGAACTCTGTGAAGCATTTATTTGGGCTGCAATTTCTGAGGCTGGTAACTCTAATGAACTTATCCTCTGCAGCAGAGGTAACTCTGGGTCTTCCATTCCTGTGGCAGTCCTCATGAGAGCCAGTTTCATCATAGCGCTTGATGTTTTTTGCGACTGCACTTGAAGAAACTTTCAAAGTTCTTGAAATTTCCCGTATTGACTGACCTTCATGTCTTAAAGTAATGATGGACTGTCGTTTCTCTTTGCTTATTTGAGCTGTTCTTGCCATAATAATGACTTGGTCTTTTACCAAATAGGGCTATCTTCTGTATACCCCCCCTACCTTGTCACAACACAACTGATTGGCTCAAACGCATTAAGAAGGAAAGAAATTCCACAACTTAACTTTTAAGAAGGCCCACCTGTTAATTGAAATGCATTCCAGATGACTACCTCATGAAGCTGGTTGAGAGAATGCCAAGCGTGTGCAAAGCTGTCATCAAGGCAAAGGGTGGCTATTTAAAGAACCTCAAATATAAAATATATTTTGATTTGTTTAACACTTTTTTGGTTACTACATTATTCCATATGTGTTATTTCATAGTTTTAATGTCTTCACTATTATTCTACAATGTAGAAAATTGTAAAAATAAAGAAAAACCCTTGAATGAGTAGGTGTGTCCAAACCCTTGACTGGTACTGTATGTATGGCAATGTTTTGTTGTGTTGTGTTATATGCTGTACAGGAAGTGTCTATGTGAATCCCTTATGTCTAATGTTAGATGACTCTTGCACTATGTACTGTTTGTCATGTTTGTGATGTGCTGTATGTCTATCTACGTGAATATCAGCATGTATACTGGCACGCAGTATGAAACAGAAATTGATTAAAATAAAGTCTTCATCATCATCTACTACAAGACCATGGTGCTTGCCTATGGAGCTGTGAGGGGAACGGCACCTCCTTACCTTCAGGCTCAGATCCTACACCCAAACGAGGGCACTACGTTCATCCCCCTCTGGCCTGCTAGCTCCCCTACCTCTACAGAAGCACAGTTCCCGCTCAGCCCAGTCAAAGCTATTTGCTGCACTGGCACCCCAATGGTGGAACAAGCTCCCCCACGACGCCAGGACAGCGGAGTCATTGACCACCTTCCGGAGACACTTGAAACCCTACCTCTTTAAGGAATACCTGGAATAGTATCAAGTAATCCTTCTACCCCCCCTCCCCCACCCCCCCATAAAAAAAGAAGAAAAAAAGTGGTTGTCCCACTTGCTATCATAAGTTGAGTGCACCAATTTGTAAGTCGTTCTGGATAAGAGCGTCTGCTAAATTATGTAAATGTAAATGTAAAATCATCATCAAAACTGATATGTCAGCTCAGGCAATGGTTAAATATCTCTATTGTGACATATTCTAATGAAACCACATTGGTCATCCAGCTTTCAGGAAGCTGCGTCTGCTGGAGACCTTGGATCTGTCAGGGAACGCCCTCCACTCCCTGCCCCTGGGGCTTCCCCGCTCCCTGCAGGTCCTCCGGGTGAAGGACAACCAGCTGACCTCCATACCAGAGGGGGCGCTGCAGGGCATGTCCAAGCTCGGGGAGATCCACCTCAGCCACAACCAGCTCAAACTAAACTCCATCTACCAGGGAGCCTGGATGGAGCTCAGCGCTCTGACGGTGAGACTGGGTGATTGGGGTGTGTGATGTGGAGGGGAGAGGGGAGTGGGGAGAGGGGGTGAGGTAGAGAGGGAGGTAGAGGATGCATGTTGCCTTTACACATAAGTAACACCTCACCTCACCATTACAATCTGCCTGATCCCCTCAACCCCTCCTCTCCTCTCAGTTTACTGAACCTACATGTTTTCTGTGTGATAAAGCTGGCTGCTGGCTCTGTCCTTCAGCTGTTGGACCTGTTGCTTAGCACTCTGATGGTGTAAAAGGGCCTAACAAATACAAGGTGATTGATTTAATTGATGTGTTCATCCAGACGTTGGACCTGTCCAGTAACCAGCTGTCCCATGTTCCCTCTGACCTGCCTGAGTCTCTGGAGTACCTGTACCTTCAGTCTAATCGCATCAGCACTGTCCCTGCCACTGCCTTCGAGGGCACTCCCAACATCAAGGGCATCTTCCTACGGTGAGAGACTTAACACCAGAAACACACACGCACCTGAACCCTTTTCTCAAACCCACAGCTCATGTACAGTAAGTTCAAGTCCCAAAATCAAATGCGAGTATCCATCAAACTCTCTCAAATCACCATATACACACCATATACACACACACTCTGACTTCACTATGGTTATTAGATAACGACTATTCAACCTTCATTCAACTCTTGACCCCTTCCATTAACTCAGAGGCCCATCGTTCTCCTCTCCACTCCACTGTTCCATCCGTTTCTGTAGCATTGTTTCTGAATGAGACATTTCTGTCCTTCTACTCAGCTCAAATCATCACCATTCATCCTCTACTGGGAGTGTGTGACTACATCCTTTTGATTGATGCCAGCTGTAAGACAGAGCCACATAGCCCCTAGTCTACTGCGTATATGGGAATAGGGTGCCATTTGGGACGTAGCCCCAACCCAGGGCTCTGATGGATATTTGGTTGATAGTTCCCTCATCATCCTTACGTGAGTTTATTTTCAGTTTGGACCTGATCTATGCTGTGCTGTGCTGAGGAGACTTATGTAACGGACACAGAGGAGGAGGAGGGAGCTGCTGACGGAACAAGTTGTCCTGCTTTACCTCTGCGTTGACTGCACTCATAAAAATATCCTACACATATACACTATGTCAATTACCCATCAGGTGTTCTTGTTTTGTAATTGATCTACTTTCCTAAACTCTCTTAATTATCTGGTTGGGTTATGAAATGTAAATGTATTATGTAAATTAATCAGGTGCTTTTCTAAAACTCAGCAAATTTGTTTGATTGGGTGCATGCAATCTCATCCATTGATAACCTACAAGTAAAAGTCACTGTTTCATTTGGGTCTAAATTCTTGTTTATCTGTTTTTCTCTCTTGGAAGATAATGCAGGATAGAACAGAACAGAACTCATGGTGGTAAGGTTTTAAGGATACTCCCGCTGTGTCTAGATCTGTTTCTTGGCTTTTACTATTGATTAACCTCTATGGGATCGGTGTCCCGTATACGGCACTGTTGAGCTAATGTGCGCTAATGTGATTAGCATGACTGTTGTAAGTAACAGCAAACTTTCCAGGACAGAAAGCTTAAATTCTTGTTAATCTAACTGCACTGTCCAGTTTACAGTAGCAATTACAGTGAAGAAATACCATGCTATTGTTTGAGGAGAGTGCACAACAACAAAAAACGTATCACAGCAACTGGTTTGATTCACCTCTGAAGGTAAATCATGTACTTACATTCAGTAATCTTGCTCTGATTTGTCATCCTAAGGGTCCCAGAGATAAAATGTAGCATAGTTTTGTTTGATAAAATCCATCTTTATATTCAAATGTAGGAGCTGGGTTCTACAGTTTGAACCCCTGCTTTCTCTGGCTCTACACCCACCCCGCCCGGCCATCTAGATGTGTGAAAGTTAGTATATAAGCTAATGATCCATCATGTATGACATTTTGTATTACCATATCATTTTTGTATGTTCTCTATAGGTATGTACTTGAAAATGTATCAATTGACCAATTCGGAACATTTGGGCAGACTTGATACAAAATAGCCCAGTATTGCAATGCTTCGCTGGATCAATCTGAAACTTTGCACACACACTGATGCCATCTAGTGGCCAAAATCTAAATTGCGCCTAAACTGCAATATTATATTGTGGCCTTTCTCTTGCATTTCAAAGATGATGCAAAAAAATAATAATTTGAAAACGCATGTTTTTTTGTTTGTATTATCTTTTACCAGATCTAATATGGTATATTCTCCTACATTCATTTCAAATTTCCACACACTTCAAAGTGTTTCCTTTCAAATGGTATCAAGAATATGCATATCCTTGCTTCAGGTCCTAAGCTATAGGCAGTTAGATTTGGGTATGTCATTTTAGGCGAAAATTGAAAAAAAGGGTCCGATCCTTAAGAGGTTAAATCACGTCAATGATTGGATTTCCAACTAAAACAGATTGGATCTGCCAACTAGTTTTCTCTTAGTTTCCATCCTTCTGTCCTCTTCTGACTTCTTCCTTGTCTGTGGGCGGGGCTGGGTCCCAAAACTCTAAACCAGTAACATCCTTGTCTCCTCATCTGCTTGCTACAACTGGTCTGAATAGATACTGGTATATGTAGCTGACTAGGTTAGTATCAGTTTCCATCATATTACTTTACCTCTTAGACCTCTAATCATTTCAGGACAATTTGGCCAAGTGGTCAGTTTGGAAAGTAAATTGTCCAAGACTGGTGGGACGCTGGCCTGAAGGTTTGTTGGGTTGGTTTAGAGACAGTTGTTTTTTTCAGTTGGAGTCTGAATGACTGCTCTAGGCTGTTTTATCAGCTCAAGGACTTTACAGGCCCTGACCTCATCCAGCCCACTCTGTCCTCCAGCCTGTTGGTCTCTTCATGCTGTGGGGTCAGCCTCAGCAGCTGCTGAAGTATCACAGCAGTTAGAAACGCTTGTTTTTCCACTAAATCCGTCCACAGCTGTGGGAGCTGCTGGCCTTTGCCAATTTACAGCGTCTGGAATGCTGTATGGGTTCAGTGGGGGAGGGGGAAGGGGATTTGTGTGCTTGTTTGTGTGTGTGTGCACATATGTTTGAGTGTTTGTAGCTTATGCATGCATCTGTTTACATTGAGTGTGTGTGTATATAATGTGTGTGTGTGCGCATGTGAGTGTGTCTGCACATGCATGTGTGTGTAGGAAGTGTGATTGTCTGGGACAGATAATGAGTGTATTATAAACTAAGATGGGTCCACTTCACTGACACTCAAGACATTGGCTTGATTGGGATAACATGGTGTCATGTCCCCTTGATGCAGTACAGGGAGTATCAGGGTGTTTACTAACTCAATAGAACTTTGAAAGGAAGGCAAAACAGATGAGTCATAGACAGAATAGCATACAGACACTCTGATTGGGTAAGACCACGTACTGTGCTGATTTACTTACTGAATCTCAGCGTCTGATTTGTTTACATCACATGTTGTGCCGGTCCTTATGGACAATGTCCATATCGGATTGGTTCTCATAATATGCTTGTTCAGATTCTAAACACAATGTTCTATCAGTTAGCAGCTCTTGCTGTGCTGGTTTACACATCAAACTCCAGCATCTGCACAGCCATCATCACATATTGAGAATTTCAGCGCCTGATTCCTTTTGTTATGATTAGTTGCTTGTTGTTAAGGATGCAGGTCTAGGATCAGACCCTCCAGTCCATATAATCTTATTCATGATCTAATGATGATCTAAAAGGCAAAACTGATCCTATATGCACTCCTACTATGAGACCGTTTGTGAATACGGGCCCTGATCCCCTGGTCCTTTGCTCTGTCCCCCTCTCAGGTTCAACCGTCTGTCAGCCAACTCTGTGAAAGAGAGCTCCTTCAAACACCTGACCAACCTGCGGGTGCTGGACATTGGCCACTTGAGTCACTCCGGACCCTCCGGACCCCCCTTCGGACGAGAGGAAGAGGAGGAGGAAGAGATAGAGAAAGTGGGAGAGGGATTTGCTTAATAAGTTTAGCCCATGGACACAAGCTGCTTGAATGATCGGAACCAAATGTTGCAGTTGTTTAGGATGCCATCCCAAAGTCCTGTTCTTTTGAACGTACAGAAAAATGTATTTTTGCAATAGATCAGACTCAATTCTAAAATGTAAATTAAACTATGAATGGATGGGGAAAGTGGTATTTTGTCCCATTTCATATAGTGGTGAATTGCAGATGCACATATTTCTGGTGCAGGATACCAGATGAAATGGTATTTTTGTTTGTTGTATAATTTTTCTGGCCTTTGCTTGTCAATGCAATGACAGATACAGTTGATTTTTGCGCTTGAGTCTTTGACTGCATCCCAAATGGCACCCTATTCACTATGGGCCCTAGTCAAACGTAGTGCACTATATAGGGAATAGTGTGCCATTTGGGATACAACTTGTCTCACCACCACTTTAGTGGAACCAGGAAGAAAGACAAAGTCAGACCTGTCATATGTTGATCATACTGTATGAGTCCCATCTCTGAACTTTACTGTGTGCTAGCTGTGTCACCATACAAAGAAGATTATGTTGAGATTTGAAGTTATTGTCATCAGTTCTGAGCCTGTATTCATATAGCTGTAGGATCTTCATTTGATCACCCTGTTGCAAGATAACTTTCCTGCAATGCAGGCTAAACTGATCCTAGATCAGCACTCCTACTCTGAGACTCTTTGTGGATACTGGCTCTGGCTGTGATTGTGTGTCATGGCCTGGTAAGACAGTCTGGCTTTATGTCATTCTGTTATTCTTATATCATCATTAACACAAGTTCCGTGACTGTGTCACAATCTCCTCCCTCGCTCAGTCTACCAGGAGCTTGATCCATGCTGCTAATCTAATGCCTTGCTTTAATCCAGTCTTGTTTTACAAAGATAATGATTGCAAATATTTGTATATGGTTTCTGAAAAACTCATGCTATGAACCAATGCATTTCTATGTATTGCACCTTCGGATTTATGCGTATAGTTTCACCTAGCAATCCATGATTTGAAAAATTATTAAATATTTAAAGTATTTTCCTTTACATCGATGGAAAAATAAACTTCATGCATGAACAGGTTTCTGAGCACACCACAATATTAAGCATGAAATGTATATAAAATGCCTTTTTTATTTATAAATAAACTTTTTTTTATGTCAGCATATTAACCAAAAACATTGAGCAAATTTAAATCATGACAGAAAAAGAAACAGAGACAATCCAGATTGTGGTTTTGAACAACGTTCAAACAACGTTTCACAAGACTTTTCACATGTTCAAGTAATCCAACTATTAATTTTGTCTGCTTCCAAAATGGCACTCTACAGTATATCCTATGGGACCCTGGTCAAAAGTGGTGCACTATAGGGAACAACAGTAGAAATGGCTCAAATGACACAGGTCAATGAAGTCTGCCACCAGTCTGCCACCAGTCTGCCACCAGTCTGCCTGTCTGCCACCAGTCTGCCTGTCTGCCACCAGTCTGCCTGTCTGCCCATCAGGGAAATCTACAGACAAGACATGTACTTTATCCTCCTGCTATTTACCCTTAATCCAACTCTACTACTACATCCAATCTAAAAGAGAGCAAAAGAAAAGGCGGGATCTAGGGAGGCGGGAAAGTAATTGAGAACAAAACAGGGTAATATAACAATATAGAGATAAACAAATGTGAGTGAGTGAGGTGGAGAGACATTTCACAAAAAATGCCTGCCATTTACTGCTCCCTGAGACAAATCCAATATTTTACTCAGTGGGTAAAATAGGCTCATTCACTTGGGCCAATTTGCTCTGCCTTGTCGAAGCAATTTGGAGAGACAGAATAATTTTCTGTTGAATTACACCATCATTGATCTCTCTAAGGATTGTGGATATATTGTATGTTCAGGGCTGGGCGGATGGAATGTAAAGGCATCGTTCCTAAACACACCATAAACAGCAGAGAATTACTCAATTGGTGTGTTAATCATAGAGCGATGAGAAACATGCGAGCAGAGCAGAATCCTGAGCCCAATGCTGCATGACACACTCATTAGAATGTCACAGCCTCTTAGGTCCACAGTTCCTATGATTCTACAGTTCTATATTCCAGTTCTATATTCCAGTTCCATATTCCAAACAACATCCTCTGTGATGACAGGCCAACGGATGCTCTGCGAGGTCTCTGTGACCGAGCGGAATAAAACGCTGGATGTTGTGACTGTTTTGTTCAAGACTGCCGATTATACAAGGGCTGAGTTAGTTCTAGGAAAATATATACAATGGAAAGAAACACATGATAATCTATTGTAGTTGTGTATGACATAAGAGACTAGCATTGACATACTTGTAATTGATGGCCACTTTGCACAGAAAATGATGACTACCATTTAGTACAAAACAACAGGTAACCCAACCAACCAACTAACGAATCATGTCTCGTTGTAAGCATCACCTCTATTCACATTTCATTTAAACGCTATATCTTCAAAAAAAGAAAAAAGTTAAATGGACAAAGCATTACAAATAATGTAACCTTGGTACATCAGTGCACAAAAAGATTGAGAAGCCTTCATCTATAAAATAACATCAATGGTATTTCATGATCAGTAGCTAGGTGTTTAGACCTTGAAAAGTCCCCCCCCCCCCCCCCCCCCCCTCATTGAATCAGCCCAGCACCACCGGCTTTGTTAAGGCAAAAAATAAATACAAAATTAGATTAAATAAAAGAGAAGAAGAAAAAGAGAGAAGGGGGCTTTTTTGAAAGATCAATGTCTCTCAGATTTGATTTAGCCAGCAGATCCGACCCACTTTCTTACAGCTGCACTAGGGTCGGACAGCATTGCTGTGTATAATAAGACACTGCGGAGCCGCCCCTACATATGGCTCGGAAAACATACCTCAATCCAGGGATGAGAAATGCGTTGTACTCCGAATTGTCCCATTATCCCAACTGTTACACCGAGAAGATTGAACGACTGCTAGTTCTTTCCGAGCCATATCTCGCGCCGGCTCCGCGGTGTCAATGTACACAGGAATGCTGTCTGACCCTAGTGCAGCTGTAAGCAAGTGGGTCAGATCTGCTGGCTAATTAGATTTCTGACATCTTGTCTTCCTCTGTCTTTTCTGCTCAGTTTCATGACAAAGAGAGCTGTCTGATTAGCTTATTTGATGTTGCAGACAGTGACAGTAGCGAGAGCCACAAACCTTACTCATATGGTCCGTTTGCACTCTAGCAGAAATGTTGCTCAGGATGACAATAAAAGTATCAAGAAATAAATATTGTAAAATTGAAATATCAAAGACAATGCCTACGTACCTCAAACAATGCAAATAGTATTACAAGTATGTACACATTTGTAAGAGTGGAAAGAGTTATTCCACCTTGCAGAGTGTTCACAGGCCCACACACATACAGTAAGTGCACACAGACTGAGCATCTCCTGGGATGTACAGGTAGGTGGGCATGTGTGTACAGGTAGTCTGGAAAGTGAACAGTGTGTACAGGTAGTCTGGAAAGTGAACAGTGTGTACAGGTAGTCTGGAAAGGGAACAGTGTGTACAGGTAGTCTGGAAAGGGAACAGTGTGTACAGGTAGTCTGGAAAGGGAACAGTGTGTACAGGTAGTCTGGAAAGGGAACAGTGTGTACAGGTAGTCTGGAAAGTGAACAGTGTGTACAGGTAGTCTGGAAAGTGAACAGTGTGTACAGGTAGTCTGGAAAGGGAACAGTGTGTACAGGTAGTCTGGAAAGGGAAAAGTGTGTACAGGTAGTCTGGAAAGGGAACAGTGTGTACAGGTAGTCTGGAAAGGGAACAGTGTGTACAGGTAGTCTGGAAAGTGAACAGTGTGTACAGGTAGTCTGGAAAGTGAACAGTGTGTACAGGTAGTCTGGAAAGTGAACAGTGTGTACAGGTGGTCTGGAAAGTGAACAGTGTGTACAGGTGGTCTGGAAAGTGAACAGTGTGTACAGGTGGTCTGGAAAGTGAACAGTGTGTACAGGTAGTCTGGAAAGTGAACAGTGTGTACAGGTGGTCTGGAAAGTGAACAGTGTGTACAGGTGGTCTGGAAAGTGAACAGTGTGTACAGGTAGTCTGGAAAGTGAACAGTGTGTACAGGTGGTCTGGAAAGTGAACAGTGTGTACAGGTGGTCTGGAAAGTGAACAGTGTGTACAGGTGGTCTGGAAAGTGAACAGTGTGTACAGGTAGTCTGGAAAGTGAACAGTGTGTACAGGTGGTCTGGAAAGTGAACAGTGTGTACAGGTGGTCTGGAAAGTAAACAGTGTGTACAGGTGGTCTGGAAAGTGAACAGTGTGTACAGGTGGTCTGGAAAGTAAACAGTGTGTACAGGTGGTCTGGAAAGTAAACAGTGTGTACAGGTGGTCTGGAAAGTGAACAGTATGTACAGGTGGTCTGGAAAGTGAATAGCAAATACAGAATGTCCTCCTTTTGGCCATAACAATCCACTGTCACAGTGCTTCACTTATCCCAGCTAGTGTTGTGTCCTGGAAAATAATTATTTCCCAGTACATCACTGTCAGGTTTCAGAGAAGCCTATACTCCCCCATCCCTGTGCTCGCTCCCTATATCCACCATCCATGAAAGCAGTCTTGTCACAAATCTCATGTTTCTCACAAACAAAACAGGAAATAAAAAGGAATCACTCGATCAGTCAACAATAACAATAAAAATAAGATGGGATCCATCATTGCTCTCTCTGTTCATCTGTTCATCCATCTTCACCTCTATAAGTTCCAGTGGCGTTGGCCTTTCATTCTGATCTACTGAACGGCGAGACTCAGTTGAAAAAGAGCGCCTCCAACTGGTGATGGACTGTGGAGCTTTCCACATCAGTCCTGCTGGGATGAGTGGTGGTGATGTGAGGTGAGGTATGGGACCTATACGTTGGTCTCCAGGCCATTCATGTCAATGGCACAGTGGTCCTTATCCTTCTTCAGCTGCCTGGGAGGCACGGGGGGCTTTTTCCTCTCCGGAGGGGGCGGGGGCCGCACCCCTTCCTCCAGCTGCATGAGGCGGGCCACGTCGGGGGGGAAGGCGTCTGGTTTGACCCCTGACCCCTGGGGCGGCGGCTGGGTGCTACCGTTGTTGTTCTCACAGTTCGTATGTTGCTGGATGTTTATCATGGGCTTGGTCTCACAGATCAGAGGCACCTAGGAGAGAGGGAGGGGGGGAGTGGAAAAATAGAAGGAGAGAGAAAGAAGGAGCAATGGAAATAGAGTGAGAGAGCGAGAGAGAGAGAGAGAGAAAGCGCAAGGACAGGAAGGAGGGGGAGAGATTGAAAGAAATTGAAAAGAAAGCGAGAGAGAGGGAGAGAGAGAGAGAGGGAAACGGTGAGAGACAAAAGTGATCCATTTTCATTCGGAAGAGTCAGCTTTTTAAACCAACATGGCTCAGTTTAAATTGTTTTTACATTGTAGTAAAACAAAATACCTAATTTGATATGCGTTGACATCAAATTCCATGGCATTACTACATTCTGTAGCAATGTATGTTTTGTTCAATTAAAAAAATACATACAATTAAATGCGATTTGATTAAAATTAATGCCTTTAACTGCAGTAGATGCAAAAAGGTGGGCGATCCATTTTCATTCGGAAGAGTCAGCTTTTTAAACCAACATGGCTCAGTTTAAATTGTTTTTACATTGTAGTAAAACAAAATACCTCATTTGAAATGCGTTGACATCAAATTACATGGCATTACTACATTCTGTAGCAATGTATGTTTTGTTCAATAAAAAGAATACATACAATTGAATGCGATTTGATTAAAATGAATGCCTTTAACTGCAGTAGATGCAAAAAGGTGGGCGGATCATAAAAAATCTGTTATTAGGAATGTACAAAAATAAGACCTGTCCTCCAGTACAGCTATGAATCGGACTTACAGAGACAATTATAGTTTTCAGTATGCATCTCATCTTTTGTGGGAACTCTACCCTTCTATGGAGACAAATTGGGGTAAAATGTAGAGGAATACAGATAGACATTATCAGTCAAACGTTTCCAGACATACAGTTGAAGTCGGAAGTTTACATACACCTTAGCCAAATACATTTAAACTCAGTTTTTCACAATTCCTGACATTTAATCCTAGTAAAGTTTTCTTAGGTCAGTTAGGATCATCACCTTATTTTAATAATGTGAAATGTCAGAATTATAGTAGAGAGAATTATTTATTTCAGCTTTTATTTATTTCATCACATTCCCAGTGGGTCAGAAGTTTACATACACTCAATTAGTATTTGGAAGCATTGCCTTTAAAATGTTTAACTTGGGTCAAACGTTTCGGGTAGCCTTTTACAAGCTTCCCACAATAAGTTGGGTGAATTTTGGCCCATTCCTCCTGACAGAGCTGTCAGGAGAACTGAGTCAGGTTTGTAGGCCTCCTTGCTCGCACACGCTTTTTCAGTTCTGCCCACACATTTTCTATAGGATTGAGGTCAGGGCTTTGTGATGGCCACTCCAATACCTTGACTTTGTTGTCATTAAGTCATTTTGCCACAGCTTTGGAAGTATGCTTGGGGTCATTGTCCATTTGGAAGACCGATTTGCGACCAAGCTTTAACTTCTGACTGATGTCTTGAGATGTTGCTTCAATATATCCACATAATTTTCCTTCCTCATGATGCCATCTATTTTGTGAAGTGCACCAGTCCCTCCTGCAGCAAAGCACCCCCACAGCATGATGCTGCCACCCCCGTGCTTCACGGTTGGGATGGTGTTCTTCGGCTTGCAAGGGCCCCCTTTTTCCTCAAAACATAACGATGGTCATTATGGCCAAACAGTTCTATTTTTGTTTCATCAGACCAGAGGACATTTCTCCAAAAAGTACGATCTTTATCCCCATGTGCAGTTGCAAACCGTAGTCTGGCTTTTTTATGGCGGTTTTGGAGCAGTGGCTTCTTCCTTGCTGAGCGGCCTTTCAGGTTATGTTGATATAGGACTTGTTTTACTGTGGATATAGATGCTTTTGTACCTGTTTCCTCCAGCATCTTCAGAAGGTCCTTTGCTGTTGTTCTGGGATTGATTTGCACTTTTCACACCAAAGTACGTTCATCTCTAGGAGACAGAACGCGTCTCCTTCCTGAGCGGTATGACAGCTGCGTGGTCCCATGGTGTTTATACTTGCGTACTATTGTTTGTACAGATGAACGTGGTACCTTCAGGCATTTGGAAATTGCTCCCAAGGATGAACCAGACTTGTGGAGGGCTACAATTTTTTTTCTGAGGTCTTGGCTGATTTCTTTTGATTTTCCCATGATGTCAAGGAAAGAGGCACTGAGTTTGAAGGTAGGCCTTGAAATACATCCACAGGTACACCTCCAATTGACTCAAATGATGTCAATTAGCCTATCAGAAGCTTCTAAAGCCATGACATCATTTTCTGGAATTTTCCAAGCTGTTTAAAGGCACAGTCAACTTAGTGTATGTAAACTTCTGACCCACTGGAATTGTGATACAGTGAATTATAATTGAAATAATCTGTCTGTAAACAATTATTGGAAAAATTACTTGTGTCATGCACAAAGTAGATGTCCTAACTGACTTGCCAAAACTCTAGTTTGTTAACAAGAACTTTGTGGAGTGTATGTAAACTTCTGACTTCAACTGTACCTCATACAAAACATAGTGAGTGAGTCTCCAGCGCATCCATTTGTGTTGAAAAAGAATGTGCGTCATGATAAGGCCACCACAGTCTTTATGCTGAAATATTTTTGTAGATGGAAAAGGTTTGCAAGGTTTTCAACTATCAAACAACAAGAACCTTGTCCTCGTCAAAATGCGTCCTTGAATTCAAAATGATAAAGATAAGCAGTTTTTTTAAAGAACGTATGACTAAAATCACGACTCCCGATAAAGCACTAACGTCAGATATTCACACTATTGTTTTTGACAGAATACAGTCATGTCGCTCTGAGCTCTGAGCCATAGCATTGGCATTAAGCAGAGTGTGACAATTTGATCTAGCAGCCAGGTTACTCAGTGTGTCTTTGCCATCAGCTCTCTTCCTGAGGAAGCTCAATATCGACAGGAGTTTGACTGTGGGGAACTAGCTAGGTTCCATGATGGCGGCAGGTATAGTAACACTAATGAGCCGAGCCAATCCGAGCCGTACTGTGCTGGTCATTGTTGCTGGAACCATGCTGGAAAAATATCTGAAGCACAGTACGCCTCAGCATGACAGTGTGATAAAAAAAAAATCTGAGCCAGCACAGTACGGCTCGACTCAGCATAGTACGTCTCGGCTCAGCACAGTACGGCTCTGCTCAGCACAGTACGGATCTGCTCAGCACAGTACGGCTCTGCTCAGCACAGTACTTCTCGGCTCAGCACAGTACGGCTCTGCTCAGCACAATAGTGTGAAAAGGGTATAAGACAGGCAGCTACTCACACCATCTCCTTCCTTGATAAAGTCTTTTCTGCAGATGTGGGCCATGATACCTGTAGCCAATGCATCCCCCATAACATTCACCATGGTCCGGAATCTGTCTCTGGAAGCAGAAGGCGAGCAGGAAAAACAGATTTAGAATAAGAGGTGTGTGTGTGTGTGTGTGTGTGTGTGTGTGTGTGTGTGTGTGTGTGTGTGTGTGTGTGTGTGTGTGTGTGTGTGTGTGTGTGTGTGTGTGTGTGTGTGTGTGTGTGTGTGTGTGTGTGTGTGTGTGTGTGTGTGTGTGTGTGTGTCTGTGTCTGTGTGTGTGTGTGTGTATAAATGAAGAAGTTCACAAATAAAGATGGGAACTGTATCATAATTCTATACAGAAATGAAATGTATTGGAGTAAAAAACACATCTACTCATTTACAGTTTCACTGTTATGTAAAGGGTGACTATGATATGTCGATATTACATCCAACAGGATGTTATTACACATCTAATTTCATCTGATTTATTTCTATAGTTAATGTTCATGTATATGTGGCGACTGTACCTCTGCTACACAATGATTAATGACTTCTATAAATGTAAGTTGCTCTGGATAAGAGCGTCTGCTAAATGACTAAAATGTCAAATGTATATGTGACTCGTTTCAGGAAACTAGGCGTTTCTTCTGCCGTACTTCTGTCTATAACATGAGCTGTTCAGTATATGTAGGTAATCCTTTCTAACACTGCTTTAAAAAAAATATATCACGAAGAACTGCAAAAGTGTTGCTAATGCTCTGCACTTTCTGGAGGACTGAGTTTTGAAATAAGTGGAATGCCCGGTGGAAGCAGAATAGGATAGCCAAGGAGATGGAGAAAATTCTGTAGTTTGATTGCAAATATGCGGAAGGAGTCAAAAAGAGAACACACAGAAGGCTGTTGTATGAAACACCTGTCTCCGGAATAGCTACATCTTCAAACTAAGGGCTACCATGGCATCCGTGACAGAGAGGGAGAAGCGTTCATCCATGTATATGGGTAAGAGAGTCTAGCTAGCAATATTTTCAGATATTATATGTTTCTAATTTTGTCACAAAGTCGTTTTCATTGCAAGTTACAGCTTCCTTTTAGCTAGCTAGCTAACGCTAGCTGGCTGGCTCGCTAGCTAACGTTACATGTATTATCTGTGTAGTAATATTATTCGTATTTCAGAGCCATTTGCATTGCTATTTATAGCCTACTGTTAGCTAGCTCGCTAACATTGAACCAAGTTGGTTAGCTTCAGCTACCTTCAGATTCATGCAGGGTAGTAACGTTATGAGTTGGGATTATGGTTCATTGTTTAGCTAGCTACATGTCTAAACAAAAGACTCCACTATGCAAGTAACCATTTCACTGTACCCTTTACACCTTCTGTATCCTGTGCATGTGACAAATAAACTTTGATTGTATTTAGCATGTGTTTACCAGAGACAGTATTATTTAATCACACTCACAACCAAGCTATTTTTCTGTAATTAGCTTGCCATTAACTTGTAAATAATGATCTTGTTGTGATTTTATTTTCCTGTAATAATTCACACACATTTTTTATTATTTAACTAGGCAAGTCAGTTAAGAACAAATTCTTATTTACAATGATGGCCTACACTGGCCAAACCCAGACGACGCTGGGCCAATTGTGCGCCGCCCTATGGGACTCCCAATCACGGCCGGTTGTGATACAGCCTGGAATCGAAACAGGGGGTCTGTAGTGACGCCTCAAGCACTAAGATGCAGTGCCTTAGACCGCTGCGCCACTAGGGAGCCCTTAGCTAAAGTTAAGACGTTGTCAGCTATGATATGATCATTATTTGAGCTGGCTTGCTAGCTAACAAGCTAGAAACTAACCAAAACATTGTTTCAAAAGTTGCTTTTAGTTGCCTGGTTTGCTAGATTGACACATACTAAATTAATGTTTAAACTGATGGGTTTATTGTTGTTAAAATACACCAGCTATGCTGTTTTGGACCACCAGGCTGCTGATGTCATGCAGCCTGTCGTTTTTGTGTTTATACTTTTTCATAACGACAACGACAAGTTTGATGTCGGACGACAATAAAATGTTCTTGATGTCACTGCGACAACTGTCTACAGACATGTCGATAGATGTAGTATGAACCAGCCTTTAGTCTTGAAATCTTTGGTTGTTTGGTACTCACTCTGTTTAGCACATGGCCTCACATGTGAATCCATAAAGAGATGAGTGGGGCTAAGGCTTAAGAGGGTGTGAACAATGGTAAATGGGTGTAGACAAAGAAGAGCTCTCCAGTAGGTGTACCAAAACATTGAAGGGCCATATTCTCAAAAGTGGGGTTACAAGTTTCTGAACTTTCAAAGCATAATTACTTTCCCATTGTTCCTCAACTGTAGTGTATGATATACAATTTTCTAGCTCTGAGTTTCTACTTTTATCCAATGTAAAAAACACCATAGATGTGTTCGAATACTCATACTAACTGCACAAACCTTACTATTTGTGATGTAAATTAAGTATGTAGTATGCTTATTGGTCATAGCATGGATATAGTTAGTATGCCAGAAGTTCCCGGATGTCGTACTACATTTGCCAAAATTCAAAATATACAAGCAGTGGACACTATTTCCGTGCTTTTAGGGCCCAAAATGCAATACTTCAGAAAATGGGCGTGGCTTCACAACATTTTCAGATTGCTACATAAGACCGAATCGAGCCAGTCGGTCACATATGTCTCCACATTACCATAATTAGGTAGCATCTGAATAATGCTACATAAACAAACTCTCTCACACCACTTCAGAAATAATCATTGATGCATCCTACGCACAGAATACGTCACATAACATGGAATCGAAAATCAATTATAAGACTGACAATAGAGGAAGTGGATCCCATATGGTACTCACAATGCCCAATCCACTGCAATGATGAGAGTGATATCATCAGTTGGCAACCCAACTGATGTTAGCACGATCACCATGGTGACCAGACCAGCCTGTGGAATTCCTGCAGCACCGATGCTGGCTGCTGTGGCTGTGATGCTGGAAGACAGAGAGAGGTGGGATAAACTCCATTATACCATACTCTATACAATAACTGATGTAGCATAAAGAGTTCCCTGGTAGAGTTTCTCTATACCAAACCATACTGCTTAGCCATGTTCCCTCTGGTTTTATTTACACTAGCATACCACCATAAATTCATGCCCAATACAGTGCTTCATTCTAAGCAGGATGCTCACCTGGATATTGGAAAATAGCCCATATCTATATGTTCACATAGTACTTTGTTACTTATTGTCAATGTGGTCATAATGTTGCCATAATGTTGCTATATGTTGCATTGGCTGACATGAACCATAATATTTGAATGAACCGTTGTTACATTTGAAGCACATAGAAACTAGCCCTAATCCCTTTGAAATAGTTTAAAAGCATTAAGGAACTAAACTCCATCTTCCTATTTATAGCTACATAACATATGCGACACACAGACTCAATTTATAAAGCAGGATGAATTGGTTGTCTTTATGTGTGTTTCATAATATTAATGGAAATCATCAACTGCGTTCCTGGTTGATACTGTTGAAGTAAAGTTATATGATTTCAAAGGGAATAGGGCTAGTTTCTGATTTACATGAATATTATGAAACACATAAAGACAACCAATGCATCCTGCTTTGAAAATGGAGTCTGTGTGATTTGCGAATGTTATGTACTGTAGCTTTAGACAGGAAGATGGAGTTTAGATCCTTCATGCTTTTAGCCTTGTTGTTTGTTGAAAATAGAGACGCAATTCCATCTACTTTAATAGCATTAAGCTGGGGTCCCTATGGCAGGGAGGGGATTCAAGGCCAAAAACACGACGAGGCTGAAAAATACAGGGACGTTCTATTTTGATCCCCAATTACTTTGCACTATCCTGCCTTCCTCTGCCATCACTGAGCACTTTACTCTCTGTGTCCATCTCCTCTCTCTCTCTCTCTCTCTCTCTCTCTCTCTCTCCATCTCTCTCTCTCCGTCTCTCTCTCTCTCTAGCACTTCTCTCTCCCTCTATCCATTCTCTCTCTCTCTCTCTCTCTCTCTCACTCGCTCATCTCCTCCTCTCTGCTCTCTTCTCTCTCTCTCTCCTCTCTCTCTCTCTCTTCGTATCTCCTCTCTCTCTCTCCCTCTCTCTCTCATCTATATATCTCATATCTCTCCTCCTCTCCTCTCTCCTCTTCTCTCTCTCTCTCTTTCTATCTGTTCTCCTCTCTCTCTCTGTCCATCTCCTCTTGTCTCTCTCTGGTCTGTCTCTGCTCCTCTGTCCCTGTATCTGTCTCTCCCCTCTCTGTGTCTGTTCTCTCCTCTGTGTCTCTCTTTCTCTGTCTGTCTCTCTCTCTCTCCGCCTCTGTCTCGCTCTCTGTCTGTCTCTGTCTCTCTCTCTGTCCGTCTCTCTCTCTCTCTGCCCTCAGTGTATTTGGAACAGTAGTTCCTCACCCTTATTTCCCCCTCGTTCTTGGCATAGTCCATCTGTTCATCTAATTCAGGGATGGGCAACTTTGATCGGGGTGGGGGGCCACAAAAAATCTGAACTCCCACCCTCCCCACCGCATTGCGAGCAAACATTTTTGAAACATGTGGCTTATATTAATGCCATTAGTCACTTCAAAACTGTAAGAGACATGTAACTTTAGATAACTGTTGCCTGGCAGAACATCTAAAAGTCTATTTTAGTCAGCTGAGGATCACCCTTTAAAACCTATGTAGCTTATCACCATCGCCTCCCTGCCAGTAAGGAGATACCCAGTATGCTATAGGCAAGGGATGGGCAACTCCAGTCCTTGGGGGCCTGATTGGTGTCACGCTTTTGCCCCAGCCCCAACTAACAAACCTGACTCCAATAATGAACTAATCATGATTTTCAGTTTAGAATGCAGTTAGTTTGATCAGCTGTGTTTGCTAGGGATGGGGGAAAAGTGTGACACAACTCCGGCCCCCCCACTCCGGCCCCTTGGAGTTGCCCATCCCTGATATAGTTCATTTATGATGGTGACTGGAATCAGTGACTAACATTTGTATATTTCCGTAACAGATAAATCTTCTCCATGCGGGCTAACCGCAGACACCTGTGTGTTTCATTGTGTGTTGCTGGGCTGGATACAGACAGAGGACCCCTGCTTTAAATGCCTCTCTTCTTCTTTATACAGTATGTTCAAATACAGTAGAATTATGAAGCATATATTTATATGTTCAGTAAAAGATGGCCTATACTATAAAAGCCGTTCATTTCTCCCTGTTACCTGATGGTTATGATTTGTCCAAAGTCCAGCTCGTAGTTATTGACCTGGGCGATGAAGATGGCTGCCACGGCCTCGTAGAGCGCCGTCCCGTCCATGTTGATGGTGGCGCCCACTGGGAGCACGAAGCGGATAATGCGTCGGTCGATGTGGTTGTTCTCCAGGAGGCACTTGAAGGTGATAGGCAGCGTGGCAGAGCTGGAGAGACATAGAGGGATAGACAACATTAAAGCTGGGGAGAGACCGAGGAAGACAACACCAAGTTGAAGGTGGCAGAGCTGTAGAGAGATAAAGGAGGACAGCATAGAGCTAAAGGTGATAGGCAGTGTGGCAGAGCTGTAGAGAGATAAAGGAGGACAACATAGAGCTAAAGGTGATAGGCAGTGTGGCAGAGCTGTAGAGAGATAAAGGAGGACAACATAGAGCTAAAGGTGATAGGCAGTGTGGCAGAGCTGTAGAGAGATAAGGAGGACAACATAGAGCTAAAGGTGATAGGCAGTGTGGCAGAGCTGTAGAGAGATAAGGAGGACAACATAGAGCTAAAGGTGATAGGCAGTGTGGCAGAGCTGTAGAGAGATAAAGGAGGACAGCATAGAGCTAAAGGTGATAGGCAGTGTGGCAGAGCTGTAGAGAGATAAAGGAGGACAACATAGAGCTAAAGGTGATAGGCAGTGTGGCAGAGCTGTAGAGAGATAAAGGAGGACAACATAGAGCTAAAGGTGATAGGCAGTGTGGCAGAGCTGTAGAGAGATGGAGGAGGATGACACATTAAAGGACAACAACAACAACAGGAAATCAAGTCATGAGACAGGTTATTTGTGGTTTTATTGCCATAAGACATAACCACCTGTTATTTAAAATTTAAATGTATTAAGAGTAGTGTACTTCATTATGTTAATAAAGCTTAGAAGAGCAAACAATTACTATGAACCTTTATTCTGCTTTGGGGAGAACAGATGGTGCATTTACAGCAGCTGTTAAGTTTCATGATTAACTCCAAAATAACCCCCTTATGAATCCTATGAAACCTGCAGAATGACTTCTCCGTAAGTGTGCAATCTCAGAACACACAGCAAGTTGAGATGTAATGTTTGTTTCTTCTTTGGATGTCTGTCTGCTTAACCTATAAGTATTCTCAGTGGACAGACATGAAGGTTACGCACGCACAAAAGACACACACACACACACACACACACACACACACACACACACACACACTAACACACACACACACACACACACAGCTCCCGTTTCCTCCAACACACACCAGATGTGTTCTGATCTCTTCCCTCCTCCCATCTTCCTCTTCCTTCCCTTCACCTCCCTCCTCTCACCTCCCTCCTCCCTCCTCTCACCTCCCTCTTCCCTCTTCCCTCTTCCCTCTTCCCTCCTCTCACCTCCCTCCTCCCTCCTCCCTCCTCCCTCCTCCCTCCTCCCTGCTCTCACCTCCCTCTTCCCTCCTCTCACCTCGCTCTTCCCTGCTCTCACCCTCCTCCCTTCTTCCTCCTCCCTGCTCTCACCTCCCTCTTCCCTGCTCTCACCTCCCTCCTCCCTCCTCCCTCCTCCCTCCTCCCTCCTCCCTCCTCCCTCCTCCCTGCTCTCCACCCTCCCTCCTCCCTCCTCCCTCCTCCCTTCACCTCTCAACTCACCTCCCTCCTCTCACCTCTCTCCTTTCACTTCCCTCCTCTCACCTCCTCCCTCCTCATCTCACCTCCCTCTTCCCTCCTCTCACCTCCCTCCTCTCAACTTACCTCCCTTGTCTCACCTCCCCTTCTCCCTCCTCCCTCCTCTCACCTCCCTCCCTTCACCTCCCTCCTTTCACCTCCCTCCTCTCACCTCCCTCCCTTCAACCTCCCTCCTCTCACCTCCCTCCTCCTCATCTCACCTCCCTCTTCCCTCCTCTCAACTCACCTCCCTCCTCTCACCTCCCTCCTCCCCCCCTCTCACCTCCCTCCCTTCACCTCCCTCCTCTCACCTACCTCCTTCCTCCTCTCACCTCCCTCCCTTCACCTCCCTCCCCCCTCCTCTCACCTCCATCCTCTGCATCACTTCTTCTTTTTATAAGCAACATTAATGTGTTGAAAATCCCAAATTTGCCCTCAGAACAGCCTCAATTCGTTGGGGCATGGACTCTACAAGGTGTCGAAAGTGTTCCACAGGGATGCTGGCCCATGTTGACTCCAATGCTTCCCACAGTTTTGTCAAGTTGGTTGGATTTCCTTTGGGTGGTGGACCATTCTTGATACATACGGGAAACTTTTGAGTGTGAAAAACCCAGCAGCGTTGCAGTTCTTGACACAAACCAGTGCGCCTGGCACCTACTACCATACCCTGTTCAAAGGCACTTAAATATTTTGTCTTGCCCAATCACCCTCTGTATGGAACACATACACAATCCGTGTCTTAATTGACTCAAGGCTGAACAATCCTTCTTGAACCGGTGTCCTCCCCTTCATCTACACTGATTGAAGTGGATTTAACAAGTGACATCAATAAGGGATCATAGCTTTCACCTGGTCAGTCTATGTCATGGAAAGAGCAGGTGTCCTTAATGTACACTCAGTGTACAATTCAACTTGAGAATTTATTCTACCTTATTTGCATATTTCACAGTGTGCCTTTCAAGTAAATTGTAGTTACTTACCACCCATGCCTGTATTTGTTAGTACACAGACATGGTTGTTGTATTCATTGGCTTTCAGTCCTGTAGCCTTCACCAAGTGAGTGTCGAAGTGAATATGTTATCTTAAAAAAACTATTTATGGCAATACATTACATCCAGTAATAAAGCCTTTCTTTGAGGGCCTAGTTACACCCTAACACAGTGGTCTGAAGCTCCTGGTTTACAGGCCACATCAAGCCTGCAAGTCACAAAGTGATGTGTAAATCCTATTGGAGTGAGGATATCCAACAATTTGAACTTTTTAATCACCCGCAACCTGTATTGAGAAAGATTGCTGGGGTAGGCAAGATTGCTTATTGAGACTACCTAAATCATATAAACTGGAACAGCCATATCAGTAATGGGTGCGATAAGTCCAACTACTAACAGATTGTAGTAGTTTAGAAAAATGTATATTATTTATGTTTGTGTAGCATAAGATTAATCAACCAATCAATGTACATGCAAAAACACAGGTATTAAAATAAAACATTCTGAAAATCAACCTGGTATAGAGCATGCTGGGAAATATGATAATGATGGGCATGGGTTTCAGTGGTTTTGAGCAAACGTGAATTTGTAATTTTACTTAACAATCTTGTTTAAATTCAGCTCACTTCGAGCAGAGTTTGTTGAGTAAACAAACTAACACATTAGCTCAAATTCTTGTCCTTTTGAAGTCCAGTCAACTCACAGAATAACACTGATTAAGCAATTCATGTACATGCCCTGAGTCTGACCTCTTCACCTGGAAGATGTTGCCAGGGCGATGTGTACGTGGCAGACGTTAATGTGCTGCTTAGCAGTACCACTTCCTCCTGCTCCAGCTCACACCAAGACTTGAACCCAGGACCTCTGCCTCGTAAACACACATGATCACCCTCCTGAAACATTTTTAACCAGTCGCGCCACTGAAAAGCTGGCATTTTGGCAACACGAGTGGAGACATTTCAGGCTGAGGAGTGAGGTTACAGATCCCATCTGTTACATGTTCATGAGGGGGCTGTTGCCCCAGCAATGTGCCTTACCTGGAGGATGTTGCCAGGGTGATGAGAAGCGCCTGCAGGATGCCCCAGATGTAGACAATGGGTTAGGGTTAGGGTTAGGGTAAGCACTAAGGTTATGCCTAGGGTCAAAGTTAGGTTTGTTGTTGTTGTTTACCTGGATGAGGTTTCCAGGGCGGTGAGCAGGGCCTGCAGTATTCCACTGATGCGCATGATAAGTTAAGGGTCAGGGCTAGTGTTAAGGTTGGGTCAGAGTTGTTGTTTACCTGGAGGATGTTGCCAGGGCGATGAGCAGGGCCTGCAGGATGCCCCTGATGTAAACGATGGGGCTCTTCTTGGTGATGAAGAAGTACATGGCCGGGAGGATGAAGAGCCCATGGAGGATCAGACCGAAGACCACCGTGACAGCGTAGAAGCCCAGCTTCTTACCCATGGCTGACGGGTCGCTCATCTCCAGGATCTTACCGGCCACCAGGAACACAATGCCGAATGGGAAGTACCTAGTCAGGAAAGGAGGAGCAGGGTCAGAGGTCATACACACAGCCATGCAGAATTTGTAACAAGGATCCTGGACACTATTCCATGGACACTATTCCATATTTACTGCACTAATTTTGGCAGTAGTGCACTACATAGGGAATAGGTTGTCATTTCAGATTCAACCCCAGGGTGTTTGGCTGTCTGTGATGAATGCAGTTAGAAATGTCTGTGATGTCTGTGCCATATGTCTACACATCTATGTGTTACAGTTAGGACCTGGAGTTTTTCCTGATAAGGATCACTTTATATGGTCTGGAAAAACTTGATGTCCTAGTTGCTGTATAGTGTAGTCAAATCCTTACCAGATGACGATAGCAACGATCTTCAGGACAGCCTCGTTTAGGCTCTGGCAGAAGTTGACCAAGGCGCTGCCATTAGGCCCCATCCTGCCCAGCATTATACCTGTCAAAATATACAGCATGTCAGTGACGCAGGACAGGACACTGCTCACATAGTACACATCATTAGACAAGTGAGAAAAGTGCTCATTTCTGCCGACAGTGATTTAGGCCTTGCTTGACATCTGAACTAAAACAACAACGTAATGTAAGCAAAAGATTTCAGGAAATGTCACAAATAATGGAGAGGAAAATGGAGAGTGTGTGTGAGGTGTTTTGTGTGTGTATTATGTATGTGTGTGTGAGTTGTTTTGTGTGTGTATTATGTATGTGTGTGTGAGTTGTTTTGTGTGTGTATTATGTATGTGTGTGCGCATGCGTGCATGCCTGTGTGTGTGTATGTTTGTTTATTACCCATGGTGGCTGAGAAGATCACAATTCCAAGGACGTTCATTCCATCACTGGTTCCCGGTAGTGTTTTGAAGTATACATCTGGGGGAGGAGTCAGGTCCAGGGAGAAATTCTGGAACTCTGTTCCATTATCGTCCTGGATACCGTAGATAAGTGCTCGCCGTGTGGTGGATTCTGATAGGCTCTGACTCACTGTGGCCTTCGGCGTTTTCATAATGGGAACACTTCTCGTCCGGTACTGTTCATATGAAGTAGAGCAGAGAACAGGGACAATTAAAGATGATTCATGGATTAGTTATTGAATTAGAATACAGAGAAAATAATTTGAACTCAATAGCGGTCAAATTAACAGAACACTGAGAACTGAATCCAACTTGAACTCATGGAGCATGAAGTCCTACAGCAAAGTGTATGATTTAAAGGGGCTCACCTGTTGAAATGTGGCTTGAACCAAGTTGGCTGGAAACATGTTGCTTGAAGGGAAAGAGAACAACAACAAATATATATATATATATACAGTACCAGTCAAAAGTATTAGAACACCTACTCATTCCAGGGTTTTTCTTTATTTTTACTATTTTCTACATCGTAGAATAATAGTGAAGACAACAAAACTATGAAATAACACATCATGTAGTAACCAAACAAGTGTTAAACAAATCAAAATATACATTATATTTGAGATTCTTCAAATAGCCACCCTTTGCCTTGATGACAGCTTTGCACACTCTTGGCATTCTCTCAACCAGCTTCATGAGGTAGTCACCTGGAATGCTTTTCAATTAAAAGGTGTGCCTTCTTAAAAGTTAATTTGTGGAATTGTTTTCCTTCTTAATGCGTTTGAGCCAATCAGTTGTGTTGTGAAAATGTAGGGGGAGTATACAGAAGATAGCTCTATTTGGTAAAAGACCAAGTCCATATTATGGCAAGAACAACTCAAATAAGCAAAGAGAAACGACAGTCCATCATTACTTTAAGACATGAAGGTCAGTCAATATGAACATTTCAAGTGCAGTCGCAAAAACCATGAAGCGCTATGATGAAACTGGCTCTCATGAGGACCGCGACAGGAATGGAAGACCCAGAGTTAACTCTGCTGCAGAGGATGAGTTCATTAGAGTTACCAGCCTCAGAAATTGTAGCCCAAATAAATGCATCACAGAGTTCAAGAAACAGACACAACTCAACATCAACTGTTCAGAGGGGACTGTGTGAATCAGGCCTTCATGGTCGAATTACTGCAACAACAAAAAAACACTACTAAAGGACACCAATAAGAAGAAAAGACCTGCTTGGGCCAAGAAACACGAGCAATGGACATTAGATCGGTGGAAGTTTGTCCTTTGGTCCAAATTGGAGTCCAAATTGGAGATTTTGGGTTCCAACCGCCGTGTCTTTGTGAGACACGGTGTGGGTGAACGGATGATCTCTGCATGTGTATTTCCAACCGTAAAGCATGGAGGAGGAGGTGTTATGGTGTGGGGGTGCTTTGCTGGTGATGCTGTCTGTCATTTATTTAGAATTCAAGGCACACTTAACCAGCATGGCTACCACAGCATTCTGCAGCGATACGCCATCCCATCTTGTTTGGGCTTAGTGGGACTATCATTTGTTTTTTAACAGGACAATGACCCAACCCACCTCCAGGCTGTGTAAGGGCTATTTTACCAAGAAGGAGAATGATGGAGTGCTGCATCAGATGACCTGGCCTCTACAATCCCCCAACCTCAACCAAATTTAGTTGGTTTGGGATGAGTCGGACCGCAGAGTGAAGGAAAAGCAGCCAACAAGTGCTCAGCATATGTGGGAACTCCTTCAAGACTGTTGGAAAAGCATTCCAGGTCAAGCTGGTTGAATGCCAAGAGTGTGCAAAGCTGTCATCAAGGCAAATGGTGGCTATTTGAAGATTCTCAAATATAAAATATACTTTGATATATTTAACACTTTTTTGTTTACTACATGATTCCATATTTGTTATTTCATAGTTTTGATGTCTTCACTATTATTCTACAATGTAAAAAATAGTAAAAATAATGAGTAGGTGTGTCCAAACCTTTGACTGGTACTGTGGTTGAAGTGGTCGAACTGATATCGTTAAAACATACCATTATTTTATTATGTTGACATAAAATACTCTCTTGCCTACAAACTATCTTAACTTTTTGTAAACTACCCACTGGCCAAAAACTAGTTGAATCAACGTTGTTTCCACGTAATTTCAATAAATAATTATATGCGATGACGTTGCATCAACGTGGAAAACTGATTGGATTTGAAAAAAGTAATCAACATAAGGGAATTTAGTCTTTTTTTCATTAAATTTTTTACCTATGTCCAATGACATGGTGATATTTTTTGTTGATTTCAAGTTGAATTCACGTTTAAATGACATCTGTGCCCATTGGGTAATTCATTCAAACTTTGCACTGAGCCGGGCAACAGATCAACTTTCTGAAAACATCACAAACAGAGAGAGAGAGAGAGAATACACATATCACAATGAAATACCATTAAAATATGTGGCATTAGCATTATTTATAAGCACCTGAACATGCATTAATTGATTTGATGAACACTAGATTTCCAGAGGAGTTTTGTTTACCATAGTCACTGTTTGCTTCCAATTAGACTGGCACATTCAACAGATTTTTGTAGTTAATGACTAACACAACAACACTTTGTCGTCCATTTTCCTGTCAAAAGCCCACAAGGACACAAAAATGGGACAGAGGCCCCAGTTGCTTTGGTGTGAATAGAATGTCCATGATTCATACTGTATCTTTCAGCTCCACCCAAATATGTGTGTGTGTGTGTGTGTGTGTGTGTGTGTGTGTGTGTGAGAGAGAGAGAGAGAGAGAGAGAGAGAGAGAGAGAGAGAGAGAGAGAGAGAGAGAGAGAGAGAGAGAGAGAGAGTGTGTGCATGTGTGTGTGTGTGTGTGTGTTTTATGCATGCATGTCTGTGTGTGTGTGTGTGTGTGTGTGTGTGGGTGTGTGTGTGTGTGTGTGTATATGAGTGACTGCCAAGCCAAACAGACAGACGGTGTATCTGGGACCTCTCCCAAGCCCTCTCAGCTCAAACACTAAAACAAACATGAAGGTGTTCACTCTCTATGCAGCTCCCATTTAGTCGGATGGAATGTTCAGAGATGATGGCACTCACATAAAGCACACTTACAAAGGCAAACAACAGCAAAAACAGCGGCTAAAAGAGGTCCATTTGAATGCTAGGATTCTGCTAGTGACAAATGTGAGGTGCCACTAACAGGGACATGTTATGAAAGTGAATGATTCCCATTACTTCAGAGATTTTCACCATGACACGTAATGTACATGCTCTATTCAGTGTGGGACAGACACCTGTTGGGATCAATATTAAGTGGACAGTACTGGACACTATGTGGCTGCTATAGGTGAACAGTACAGATGTAGGATCTTAATTTGATCACCCTGTTGCAAGACAACTTTCCTGCAATGCAGGAGCATAGCCGTGGGAAGTAGGGGTGCTGAGGGTGCTGCAGCACCCCCTGAAAAATCGGAATAAAAAAGATTCACAAAAGTAGTGCACTGGGCAGTTAATAGTAATGTATTAGTGGACCCATATATTCCCCCCCCTTGAAGAAAAAATGCACCCCCATCCCCAAACTACCTCCTGAGGCTATGTGCAGGACATTTCAAACTTGTATCGTATTTTAGGTTTGAAAAGGCTTCTGAAGTTTGTAATTTCCACTTTGGAATTTCAGACTTGATTTTCCATTACAAAATTATTATCAACATAATAATTCACATTTCCAGTTGCTGCAGGATTATATTCCTGCTATAACAAAATGGCTAAAATTAAGATCCTAGATCTGCAGGTCAACAACATCCCGTCTTATGTGTAAGTCGCTCTGGATAAGAGCGTCTGCTAAATGACGTAAATGTAATGTAAATGTATGTGCCAAATCTCACTAAAACTCCTCAATAAACCCATGAGACCAAACAGACCGATTTATTTTCTGAGCTGTGTGATGGTGTGGTAGTATAATGAGTCAGAGTGTTACGTAATACAGCACTTAGCTTAAGTGTGTACCTCCAACTGCAGCTCAGCTGCTCCCCACTGACACCATGTACTGTAACCCTGACCCTGCAGGCTAGTCATCTACTTCTTTACTCCCTCAAGGTTTACCCAAAAAGCCACTTAGTCTCTCAGATATACACTCCCCTACATATTTATTTGGACAGTGAAGCTAAAACATTTGATACTCCAGCATTTTGGATTTGAGATCAAATGTTTTATATGAGGCGACAGTATAGAATGTCACCTTTTATTTGAGGGTATTTTCATACATATCCGTCTTACCTTTTTAGTGAGAAAGTTACAGAGGCATAAATATCATAACAAACCCCCCCCCCCCCCCGGTTATTGGTAATGCACTATAAATGAAGTTGACACCTTCAAATGGGGGGACTAGATACAGAAAGTGCTTTAACTTCTAAACGGTAAAACAGATATGTATGAAAATACCCACAAATAAAAGGTGACGTTCTGTTTTCTCGCCTCATCCAGCATTTTGTTGAAGTATAGAGCCAAGTTAAACGTTTTAGCTTCACTGTCCAAATGAATACGTAGGGGAGTGTAGCACTAATTGGCTTGGTGCTGTACATGCTGTTTCTGTAACACCATGACATAATGACTGCATCCCAAATGGCACCCTATTCCCTTTATAGTGTACTACTTTTGACCATGGCCCATAGGGCACTATTTTGGGAATAGGGTGCCATTTGGGACAAATACAATGTCACTGCTGGGATGTATCCAGAGAGAGGATTCTCCGGGGGAGTTACTGTTTTCGTCTACACCAGGGCCCCCCCGTGCACATTACTTATGACTTTAATTTATCCTTACGAGAGCAGTTAAAGCTCTCTCTCCTTTATCTTAAAACAAAGACCCAAAGGGCCCCCAAAGCAAACCAAAAATTTTTTTTTACCCCAAATTAAACAACCCCACCCAATGCCAAAACCCCAAAAAAAAGTTATGAGC